TGAGGGATTACACGGTTTCTCTAAGTTTGCTGCACTTTGCTCCTCCTGTGGCCCAAGAAGATCTTGTGGGAGGCACTCTGAGGGGGAGATTCTTCTACATCTGTGTCCTCTAAGGTACTCTTCCTTTTTTAGGAGGGAGAAAAATAAGAAGGTATGTTTCCGTCACTAAGAGGGTAACAAAGAGCTTGGCTCTTTGCCACGCTGGTTGGTGAAAGTGAGATTTGTAAGAGCTTCTCTGCCTTATTGTGGGGGCAAAAGGAGAATTACTGTTTAGTAGTAAAATTCTCGGAGTGGAGGACTCCGGGAAGTGGACTTAAGTCAAGTGACCGAACCACTAGAAAATCTCTGGTGTGATTTTTCCTTACTACTTTTTATTTACGCTTGCATTTTATTTTCATTAAAATTGCATGGTGAAAATCTTTGTGAAATTCATTATCGTAAATATGTTTTAAGCATTCACTTCCATATTATTTTATTTTCTTGTTTAAATTTTAAAAATACAAAAATTAAAACTCATGTTTATGATTGTCTTTGTATTACAACAATTTTTCAATTCACTCCCCTCTTAGTGCATCTTGTAATTTCAAACACAACAAGTTGTATTAACCGCTTCAGCCCAAAAATATTTAGGAAGTGAATATTCAGACAACATTGCTCTAGTGACTTCTACCAAAGTTTTATTCTTTCTTTCAATAACCTCATTCTATTGAGAAGTTATATAAGCTAAAAAGTTGTGATCTATCTCTTTCTCTTTATAGAAAACCTCAAAGTTTTTATTTTTAAATTCTTTATCATGGTCACTGTGAATTATATTAATTTCATAACCTAGCTTCCGCTGAATCCAAGAAGAAAAATTTTTAAACTCATCAAATGATTCACTCTTATGTGATAAGAATCTAGTCCAAGTGAATCAAATATAATCATTAATAATTGCATGCCCAAAAACTTTCCCTCCTAGACTTACAGTGCTAACATGTCCAAAAAGATACATGTGAAGGACTTCTAAGAGTTTGCTAGTTCTAAGATCTTTAATTGAATGAAAGGAGGACATAACTTGTTTTCAAAATTTACACACATCACACAGGTGATCCTTAATGAAGTTTAATTTGGGTATGCCTCTTATCAATTCCTTCTAGGTAATCTTCTTATGATTTTTCATACTTACATAACAAAGCCTTTTATATCATAAACAAGATTCATCAGCAATAGTTTTTTGATAAAAAAGTAATGAAAGAGTTAACACAATTTAAATCAATTATGTAAATATTATTTACCATTATCTCCATACAACACATAAACTCTATTTTCACTTATAATATAGCATGTAAGCAAAAAGTTATGTTAAAACCCTTCTCACAAAGATGAATAATACTTATCAAATTATGTTTTAAGCCTTCTACCAATAAAACATTTTCAATCATAAAATTCTTCATGTTACTAATCTTACTTGATCCTACCACTCTCTTAGTGGTGTTATCTCTAAGTATAACTATGTCTCTATTCCTGACCTCTAGCAATATAAATTGATTTACATCTCTAGTCATATATTTTGAGCATCCGTTGTCCAGGTATGAAATGCTATCACGATGACTTATATAAGAGTGTTTCTAAAAAATAAAGAAACATTAGACTTGAGAACCCTAATAAATTTGGGTTCACATCTTGTTAATGATAATCTAGATGCATATTTAATATGTTGTGATTGATGTATCTTAGGTATACACATTAAATGTGTTCTATTATTAATAGTGCAAGTGTGTGAAATATGCCCCAATATTTCACCTCAAAAGCATTTAACACCGGAAAAATATTTTACTAATATATATGAGTTATAATATCTTTTCTTAGGTTTTGAACTTGTATACTTTTAGTAAGAATTATAAAATTGTTCAAGTGTAGGAGCAAACTTATTATCCTTAAACGCTTTCAATTTTATTTGAATATATGAATTTGCATTTTCTAAAATAAAATTTTCAATCTTCAAATCATGTTTCCTTTGATAAGATTCACCCATAAAAAACTTTAAAATCATTTTTAAGCATTTTTATAAGATGTTTTTAATAGTTCATACTTCTTATTTAAATCATTAAATTCATCTAACAAAGTCATGTGATTACTATCTATGTTTACGTGGTCATTCCTCATATTTTCATCCTCTTTTTATATATTTAAGTACTCAATACTAAGATTAGTATGTAATTTTTTAAGTTTCATATATGCATTATGAATTTTCTTAGAAATTTTAAATAATTTATCATAAGAAAAGTCACATTCCTCATCTTGATCTGAATGATCAAGTTTATATGCCATTAAGTATAAATTTGTAACCTCCTCTTCTGCTTCTATTTTTAAAGAATCTGAAGCAAAGTCAGTGTAGAAAACACTTTTCATTCTTTTCTTGCACTTCCTAATGTCAGTTTTCTCCTCAACTTTTTCTTTATCAGAATTAGCTTTGAGATCCTACATTCACTCTTTATATATCCAGTCTTTTTGCATTCATAACAAATGACTTCATTAGAAACTTTTGATGCCTTATTGAACTTACCTTTATTCCAATGTTGACATTGTCGTTGATTTCTCTTAAGAAAACTTTTGAATTGCTTAGTCATAAGTGTAATATCTTCTTCATTCTCTAGTTTTGATTGATCGCTTTCTAAATCATTAACTTTCAATGTTATATTTCTTTATTTTCTTTTATCATCCACATTAATCTGTCTTTGATTCACTCCTTGCTCATAAGCAATAATTTTTTACCCTACAAAAAAAATAAAGGATGAAGAGATACATCATGAATTGTTTGAATATTTGCTAATATTCTAAACATGTTTTATGCTATCATTTTTTCTTTTACATACTCACCTCTCTCTCTCTCGCTCTAAATTTTTTTACTATTAAAAGATTGTTTGTTAGGAAGGTCAAATAATATTCTAGATAATATGATAATTTAATTAATATTAATAATAAAACTTAATATTATTTATAATTATAATAGTTAAGTAAACTTTTAAAATAGAAACTATTGCTAAAGAATTATTTTCAATCATTTCTTTTATTTTAAAAATTTTAAAATATCTTGAAACGCATTTAAAAAGTTACTTTTTGAAAATTCATAAACAATTAAAATTATTATTATATATATAATATTTTCACCATGTGCTCATTTGAGGACAGCTTCCGCATCGTTACCAGCTTTTCCGTTCAGGCCGAGCGGGGACCGGACCAAGACCGTCCGGGGTTTACGTGCCAGCACGTGATACGCCCGTGCCGCTGTTCGCGAAAGCCATGGGTGACTGCCTAACTATTTCTTGAGGGAGAAATTATTCTGTGTAGAATCTGATCACAGAGATGTGTTCGGTTGCTTACATGGAAAGTAAAAAAGTCAATTGACTCGCTCAACTCGTCAAAATTATTTCTCAATGACCCGACCCGGGAGATAACGTTAAATTTAGGTTGCGCTTCTTTTTTTCAGAATTTAAGGCACGAATCACCGCAATATATAACGTTTTTAGCCAAAATTTTCACAGAAAAAATGCCGATGAAGATGGAGATTGATCTGGATCTGGAGGAGGATCTTACTTTTTATGAGCAGACAATATTTTCGCAGGTCTCGAAGGAAGCTGTTAACTATGAGAATGCCAACATCCAGGAAACAAGCGAACATGAAGCAGAACACCAAAAACCAGTGTGACTGGACAAAAAGTTCAGCTTATCGGTAAAGTTCGCCTTCCTCCAAGTTTTCTTTATAGCAATGTTGCAATTAAATTTCTTTATAGAGTCGTTTTTTTGATGTAATTATTTTAGGGTACAAAGATTTTTGATGTTAAATTGTAATTGATTTAAAAAGAAGACTCGAGGCTTATCGTACTATTGAGCGTATTATTGAGCAAGGGTACAATAACAAATTTGAAGTTTGAATTTCTTATTGCAAAGTTTTGTTGCGTATTAATTGCGTATGTATTGCTTATCTGTTTGATAAACATTGAGTATTATCTGCGTATTGATTTGGTATACATTGCATATTAATCGTACATATATTGGGTTTTTATTGCGTATTGGTTGCGTATTATTTTGCTTAATTACTGCTTATTGGTTGCATATTGGATAATTCATTTATTACATATTTATCAGGATGTTTATGTTAATGAGAAAGAGGCATACGAGGCTTATCGTAATTATGTCCAAAATCTTGGTTTTAGTGTTCGTAAGGATCATCATAGTTATTGGCCAAATTCCAAAAATTTAAAATCTAAGGACTTTATTTGTTCAAAAGCTGGTTTCAAGAAGTTGCTTGATCTTAATATCCAAAGGAAATATCGAAGATCAGATACCCAAACTGGCTGTCCAGCTATGATTAGGTTTACAGTGGATGAAGCTAGATATTGGAATGTGAAAAAATTTATTGAAAATCACAATCATGATTTGCCTAGACCAGAAGACCAGCATCTTCTTAGATCATGTAGGAATATGTGAGATGAAAAAGCTTTTATTCTTAAAGCAATGACAGATGCTGGGATAAGAACCATTGATGCATTTTCCTTCTTTGCTGATGAAGTTGGAGGTGTCGAAAATATTGGATTCACAATGAGGGGTACGTACAACTTTTTTCAAAAAATAAAAAGAGCAAAGATTGAACTTGGGGACACTAATACTTTGATTGAGTTAATTAAAGAACGTCAACTTAATGATAACATGTTCTCTTGGGATGTCCAGAAGGATGAATTTGATAGATTGTTAAATTTTTTTTGGGTTGATGGGATTGGTAAGATAAATTATGGCTGCTTTGGTGATGTGATAATTTTTTATACAAGTTTAGGCTTAATAAGTATAATTTGGTATGCGCACCATTTGTCGGGGTTAACAATCATTGGCAAAACATTTTGCTTGGAGTGGCCTTCTTGTCTGAAGAGACAATTGAATCATTTACGTGGGTGTTTACAACTTTTGTTCGAATGATGGGTGATAAACAGCCAAAAATAATATATACAGATCAAGACCAGGCAATGGCTAGGGCCATAGAAGTTGCACTACCTCACAGTCGCCATAGACTGTGCCAATGGCATATCCGTAAAAAGGCTCCATCAAAAGTATCGTGCTACAATACCAACAACAAAGTGAAAGGCCTCTTCAATAAGTGCTTGAGCAGATGTGACTCTGAGGAGGAGTTTGAGAATGCTTGGGCTGAATTGATCATACAAGAGAACCTCCAAGATCATGTTTGGTTGAAGGATCTTTATAGGATAAGGAATAAGTGGTCAACATACTTCAATAAGGATTGTTTTAGCATGGACATTCTATCCACACAACGTAGCGAGTCTACTAATAATGTGTGTCATGGCATTTCTAAGCCCACAAGTTCTATAACTGATTGCTTTCTGGGTTTAGGGAAGGTGATGAGGAATTGGCGCCGGAATGAACAGGATGAGGATTATAGATGCAGCCAGTCCGAAATAGAACCTGTAATAAAAAACTGCTCAATATTAAAGCAAGATGCTCAAATTTATTCAAAGAAAATATATTCATTTTTTGGACAATAATTTTTACAAGGTGTTGGTGTAATGAGTGTAGAGCTTGAGTCTAGCGATTCTTCTAAATTTTTTGTCTATTATATAGAGAAAAGGGATCACTCTAAACCATGGGCTGTTGATTTTGATGCACAAAATGGTAACATTCAATGCTCCTGCAGAAAGTTTGAAATGATGGGTTTATTGTGTTCTCACTGCATAATAGTTTTGAGGCAAATGACTATTGGGAAAATCCCCGAGAAGTACCTACTGTTGTGATGGTCAGCAAGAGCTCGACAAGATATATATTCTAGTCTAAATTTGAAAGAAAATTCTCACAATAGCTCTGAAGATAGTAGCGGATTCTTATTCAAAAATTATGTCATCAGGTTTGCATATGAAATGAGCACACGAGCATAGCTGAATGAGGAGGGTGAAGAATTCCTATTGGCTTCGATGAGGGATACATCTGAAAAACTCGATTTGATTATTTATGGGAAGGAAAAGACATAAAAGTCTACACAGGGTGGAAATGTACAACTGAAATATCCTCTAAAGCGTAAGCCTAAAGGCATATCCAATGCTAGGCTGAAAAGCCGCTGGGAGAAGAAGCCAAAGAGTATGATTTCATTTTCTGACTAATTTGATTTATTTTTTATTGTGACATATTGTTATTAATTTTTTTAATAGGGAAACCACCAGTGAAGAAAAACACAACAACAATTCCTACTCCTTCAAGCATGCCCGAATGCTTAACGGAGGATTTCATAAATTCTGTACACTCCAAGCAACCATCAGCTCAGTAGTATAATTTCACAAGCATGCCCAAATGCTTCACTGAGGACTTCATAAATTCTGTACAGTCCAGTCAGCCATCTCCAGCTAAGCAGTACAATTTCACAAGCATGCCAGAATGGTTAACGGAGGACTTCATATCACAAGCATGCTTGTCTAGTCAGGCATCAGTACATCAGTTCACAAGTATGCCCGAGTGCATGACCGATGATTTCATAACAGGGGAACCGTCTAGTCAGCCATCAGTAAAGCGAGCAAAGCATTATAATTTCACAAGCATACCCAAATGCTTCACTCAGGAACACATAAAAGGTGTACGTTCAAAAAAGCCATCAGCAATGTACCTGAAGTTGATGATGGATATCATTAAATTTGAAAATTTTATGTAATAAGAATATTTGTATTATTATCTTTAGAGATATTTATTTTATAAGGAATATTTGTTTCTGGATATATGCGTATACAATGCGTATTGGATGCATATACAGAGTGTATATAGAGCATATTTTCTATGTTTCTGAAAATGCAATAATTGTCATCTTCTCTATATAAGAAGTTTCCCTCTTGCATTGTCAATAGATCCAATTTCTGTGATTGCGTATGGATGGCGTATTCCGTGCGTACCTAATGCGTATAATAAGCGTACTTACTTCGTATTTTGCCAACCCATATAAATCCCTATTTATCACAAGGAATGAATGTTCAAAGGCAGAGAAACCCAATATTCAATGCTTCCTGACTCTTTTGTTCACGAGACGAAGAATTCCAATCACCTTTGATTCTCCCTATACTACAATGATTGCTAAACCAGTGAAGCATAACACCCACACTCTAGAACCATCAATTGTGTAGCACAAGTGTACACAAATACTATGTACCATTGAGAAATTTTTTATAATCATTTTATAATGATGGTAAAATGCGTATTTAAATGATTCAAACTGAAGGAATGTATCGAATAAATTTTTTTAATAATTTTTTTAAGAACAAAACAATTTTTGTGATTTGCGTATAGATGGCGTATGTCGTGCGTACCTAATGCGTATAATAAGCATATTTACTGCGTATTTTGCCAACCCATAGAAATCCCTATTTATCATAAGGAATGAATGTTCAAAGGCAGAGAAACCCAATATTCAACGCTTCCTAACTCTTTTGTTCACGATATGAAGAATTCCAATCACCTTTGATTCTACCTATACTACAATGATTGCTAAACAAGTGAAGCATAACACCCACACTCTCGAACCATCAATTGTGTAGCACAAGGGTGTACACAAATACTATGTACCATTGAGAAATTTTTTATAATCATTTTATAACGATGGTATAATGCGTATTTACATGATTCATATGGAAGGATTGCATTGAATCAATTAAATTCAAATTTAATAAATTTTTTTAAGAACAAAATAATTTCTGTGATTTGCATATGGATGGCGTATGCCATGCGTACCTAATGCGTATAATAAGTGTATTTACTACGTATTTTGCCAACCCATAGAAATCCCTATTTATCACAAGGAATGAATGTTTAAAGGCAGAGAAACCCAATATTCAACGCTTCCTGACTCTTTTATTCACGAGACGAAGAACTCCAATCACCTTTGATTCTTCCTATACTATAATGATTGCTAAACCAGTGAAGCATAACAGCCACACTCTAGAACCATCAATTATGTAGTACAAGGGTGTACACAAATACTATGTCTCATTATGAAAACTTTTATAATCATTTTATAATGAGGGTAAAATGAGTATTTACATGATTCATACCGAAGGATTGGATCGAATTAATTAAATTTGAATTAAATAAATTTTTTGAGAAAAAAACAATTTCTGTGATTTGCGTATGGAATGCGTATTCGAGGCGTACCTAATGCGTACCCAAGGCATATAGTCTGCGTATTTTGCCAACCCATAGAAATCCTTCTTAATCCCAAGGAATGAAGGTTCAATGGTGAGAAACCTAATATTCAACGCTTCCTGATTCTTTTATTCATGAGACTAAGTATTCCAAACCACTTTGATTCTCCATATACTCCAATGAATGCCAAGCCAGTGAAGCATAACACCCACACTCTAGAACCATCGCTTGTGTAGCACAAGGGTATACACAAATACTATGTTTCATTATGAAAATTTTTATAATCATTTTATAACATGAGTATTTACACGATTCATACCAAAGGATTGGATCAAATCAATTAAATTCGAATTAAATAATTTTTTTAAGAAAAAAATAATTTATGAGATTTGCGTATGGTATGCGTATTCGAGGCGTACCTAATGTGTACCCAAGGCGTACACTTTGCGTATTTTGCCAACCCATAGAAATCCTTCTTAACCCTAAGGAATGAACTAAAAAAAAAAAAAGAAGAACACAAAGGAAATTAGTAACTAACTCAATTCAACCTTATTAAGCCAACACCAAAGAAACTTGAAAACAAATAGAATTTAAACTCTAAGAAAATTAAAAATAATAAAAACTACCCTCATAACAACCAGCTAGTGGTCACATCACATGCATCAAAAATAGTAGATAAAATGATTGGTGCTTAAAGACATGCAAACCAGAGGTTCACTACAACAACGTTAGGCCAACGTCCACCACAAACTCCTCCAGCAAATGCTAACAAATCGACCAACCAACACCTTCAAAAGCTTTAGAAGAAAGATACAAATGGGGCGGACATTTGAGAAGAGAAGAAATAGATAAGAAGTCTGAGATGAAATTATATAGAGGAGAAGAGAAAGGGGAACATAGCTAGCAAGCTATTAAAGAAGACGCCATCATGTTTCAGTGTATCACTCACCAAAAATCAGCTCCCAAATGTCACAAAATAGACCTTCTATATAAGTGAAGGAAGGGAACTAAACAACCAAACAGCCGCCCACTCAAGATAATAAGAAATGGGGAGGCAAAAGACCAAAAGACCACCGATTAGAGCAGCACACGAAGAGGCACGCGGGAAACTGGAACAACTGCGATCAGAATAAGTGCCAAGGGAAGAACCGGGACATTTAGAGGAGCCGAAGAGGCAATAAAAGATGGGAAATGAACCCGATATGCACAGAAACAAAAAAAAAGAGTTGAATAAAGACAACATAAGCCCGTCCAACTATAGATAGCTCATACCCGAATCATCCAAACCACACCCATGGAACCTGAGTCAAACCCAAGTCAGTCCAAATGCTATGGCACCAAAGAAGCTAGCACACCAAAGGAATAGCATGCCAAGAGCACAACCTATACATGATCATTGGTTGCCTTCCACATAGGGTAGAAAAAACATTAAAAAAAAATTAAATTACAATAAAGTTCAAAATAAAATTGAAATGAAATTTACAAGCATCAGTATAGGTTGGAATTTGTGATATTAGCAAGCCATACCCCCCCTGCAGCCAAATGATGCTTTGGTTCCCCTCCAATCAGTTGTATGGATGTCTCAGTTTTTTTCCTCCCGTAGTTGATGAAAAAATGCTTCGATTTTCCCCCTGATGGTTCGTTTTTCCCCTTGTTTGTTGCCCTTTTTGGTTTTCTCTTTATCAACATTTAATGCTTCGGTTTGCCACCACTTTTGGGGATGTTTTGATGCTTCGGTTTTCCCATGGATGCTGCCCCTTTGGCTTCAATTTTACCTCAGATTTTGAAGAGTTTTTAGTGGCTGGTTAAGATGTGCATTAACCCTCAATATTTATTGTTCTTTTTCTTTATTTTCTCCCCTATAAAAGGGGCTCTTTGCTGCAGTTTTACGAAGAAGAGAGTTTTGAGTGATAATTTGTGTAATGTAAAACATGTGGGTTTTCTCTAACATGCAAGCTAGCCTCCTATTCCCTTCCCCTCTATTAATTCGTCTCGGTCTTCTATCTTTTTCTTCTATCCATGGTTTCCACTCCACATGTATCATTCTTCTATAAAATTTGTGCAAGTTGATTGTAGACGCATCGATGTGTCATGTTAATTGTTTATCTATAAAAGTGTCTTTAAATTTGCAATATTAGCGTTTATGTTTATCTATGTTGTAAGAAAGGAAGATTCGAGTCTTTGCAATATTTTTTTAATTCCATCAATTTGGTATCAAAGCTTAGGACATGTGAGTTTTCCTTTAAAAAAAATCAAAAACGAAAAAATGGACAGAGTAAAAGCCGAAGTTCAAGTAAGTTTCAAGATTTTATTATTTTTTTCTTACAAAGTTTTTTTTTTTTTTTGTTAAGTTTCAAGATGAAATTTAATTTGTAGTTGGTGAAAACCAGCCAACTAATCTAGAAGAGACAATTCCAACAATCAGAGGGTTTCACCAAAAGGGAGTTCTACTGATCCAATCAAAACGAGCTTTATAAATTCAAGAGAAAATGAATTTGTGTGCAGAAAGATTTGAGAAGAAAAAAGTCTACTTCAAGCCAAGTTTAATTAAGAAAAAGAAATGATTCAAAGAAAGTATTTGACTTTAATACAAGAATTGGATGTGGCTCATTTGTCGTGTAATGGAAGTTTTGATGTTATCTTTTCAGAAGATGTGATATATCCGCTAGGGGAGAATTGATGTAGGCAAGCTGTACCCCCACTACGCCCCCCCCCCCACATATATCATGCTTCTATAAAATTTTTCTAAGTTTTTTGTAGTCTCTTTGATGTGTCATGTTTAGTGTTTATCTATAAAAGTGGCTTTAATTTTGCAATATTAGTGTTTATGTTTATCTATGTTATAAGAAAGGAAGATTTGAGTCTTTTTAATATTTTTTTGTTGCATCAATTTGGTATTAGAGCCTATGTCATGTGAGTTTTCCTTTCTTAAAAAAAAACAAAAAATGGATAGTCTAAAAGTCGAAGTTTCAAGTCTCAAGATGAAATAGAATCTTTAGTTGGTGAAAATCAGCCAATTAATCTAGAAGAGACAATTCCAACAACCAAATGGGTTTCACCAAAATGGAGTTCTACTGATCTAATCCAGAATGAGATTTACAAAATTCAGGAGAAAATGAATTTGTGTGCAAAAAGAGTTGAGAAGAAAAAAAGCTTAATTTAAGCGCAGTTTAATCAAGAAAAAGAAATGATTCAAAAAAAGTATTCGACTTTAATACAAGAATTGGGCGTGGCTTATTCGACGCATCATCGAAGTTTTGAAGCTATCTCATCAAAAGATGAGATTACTCCACTAGGGGAGAATTGATGTAGGAAAGCTATTTTCTCTAGCTTTATTTTCTTGAGAGAGCTGTTTGCTGCAGTTTTACGAAGAAGAGAGTTTTGAGTGATAATTTGTGAAATGTAAAACCTGTGGGTTTTCTCTAGCTTGCGAGCTAGCCTCCTATACCCTTCCCCTCTATTAATTCATCTCGATCTTCTATCTTTTTCTTCTATCCATGGTT